TGAAGCTATACTTTTATTTTTTTATATTTTTTTGAAAGAGAGAGCGAGCGAGCACGAGCGAGTGCGAGCAGGAGACGGGGACCAGGGGCAGAGGGAGAGAGGGAAGCAGGCTCCAGGCTCAATGCGGAGCCCGACACAGGCCTCCGTCTCACGACCCTGAGATCAGGACCGGAGCCAAAATCAAGAGTTGGACACTTAACCGACCGAGCCGCCCAGGCACCCCTAAAGTTGTACTTTCAGGAGGTTTTCTTTTTTTGGAATCTTCCAAATTCACACACCTGTGGGCGGGAGGCACAAATATACTTAAAAAAAAAAAAAAAAAAACTCGTTTGGAGTCTCATCATAAAATACTGAGAAGACACTTAACTAAATCCTCTGTGACAATCAGATGTCCTTCCTTCCAGTCTCTCGCTACTCGGCCGTCTACACACCTGTGTGTAGCTCTGCCTGTGGTTTTCCCAGCCAGGCTCCAGCCCTGGCAGTAACAGCCCGGGACCTGGAGCAGGAGGTCACAGGCCGGGTGGAACCGGAGGCCTGAAGGACAGGGCCTCAGCTTCCACCTCCGCAAGCGGGGACTGTGGCACTAACTGTGTCTGTCAGTGGGAACACAGGACCAGCCCCTGGGCTCGTCCCACGGACCAGAAGCACGGAGAAGACCTGACTCCCCATCAGCAGCCTCAGGAAGGATTCGAGGCTTCGTGTCACCCCGGCCTCTGGCTGCTACTGCCCCTTCTTCAGCCTCCCCAAAAGGAGGGCTGCCAGCCTCTGCGGGTCATCTCTAGTGACAAGGACACCCCCCTCTCCAGGCAGCTCATTCTATGTCGCGAAGGCTCTGGCAAACCTTTGTGGGCAGCTCCCTCTGAGCTTAAATGAGGTGCTTTCCAGCACATTCTAGAGCAGGGAGAAAGCCAGTGGTGGTATAAGCTGAAGGCCATTATGGTCTCTTTCTGCCCCTTGAAAAGGGCAGCATGGGGACCTATCAGCACGTAAAGATAGGGGAGTCCTGGGGCAGGCTCCCCAGTGGGCATATCTCAGAAAGAAGCCCACATGGCTGACCAGCCAGGGAGAGCTTAGAGGCTGGAGGTACCACCGGGCCCCTTGCTCTACTGCTCACAAAACTCCTAATTCAATGGCCCACTTTTCCCACAAAGGCCAGAGGAGGCATCAGCTTCAGGCAGCGCTAGATCCAGATACTCTAATCAGGTCACCACAATCTCTCTCTCCCCATCTCCAGACTCCACTTTGACCCTCAATCAGGGTTCTCTCTGGGGTGCCAGAGATGACCTCTGGAACTTCCTGGCTTACGCTTCACCGGCCATTTTCCTAGAGGTTCTGGAAAATTCTGGGCTAACTCACCAGCCCGACTCAGATCATAACCCCAGCAACTGTGGCCAGGAGCTCTGCATGCTTCAGACTGGCCAAGCCTGAGTCCCGTGCCCAGGCCTGTGCCTGCCAGGGTGCTGGGGGTAGACGAGGGTGACCCCAAAGAAACACAAGGATCACACCCAGCACAGGCGGAAACAAAAGGTGCCCACCACCCCACCCTGTTTTCAGAATGCCCCCAACCACGGTACATCTAAGTTTTATCACCCTTAAGAGGAATTCTGACCCCCTTGGGAGCAACATCACCCCTACCGGGCATGCACGGGCTGAAGTGAGGGGCCAGTGTCCTCCCACCAACAGCCAATCAAAGAGCAAGTAAACCCAGTAGGTGTGGAGGAAGGCCAACCCAGGCAAAGCTGGAGGGCAAGGCCAAGAGGGGTGTGTCCCGCCCCCCACCCAGCCCCGCCTCTCCCACCCTGGCAGCCACTGACCTCACCACCTACGCTCACCTGTGCCTCTCCCATGCCTTCTCAACCGAGGCCCCTGTGGGTCCCTCCCCAGTTCCCAGGGGCACCCAGCATCCGGGTGGACTGGAATGCTGGGAGCTGACATTGCCCGAGGCCCCTAAGCCTGGAAACTAGGAAGACCACAGGCCTCCCCTTCAAACAGCCCAGTGGGGAAGAGTCTGGAAGCAAGAGGAGCCCTGCCCACGGCAGGCAGAGCCGAAGTGGTCCCACATGGCCACCGTGGGAGTCCGGCATCACCTGCTGGATCACATACACTCCCCACGACGCTGCAATTCCAACGCAAACCTCTACCCTACGAGGACCACGCCCACATGCCCAGAACACGATCAGATGTTCCTGGCAGCACTTCAAAGAACGACCACACCAGGACCCACCCAAGTGTCCCCACCAGGGAAGGGGAGGAATGGGGCGTGTTCATAGCACGGATGCAGGACCACCAGGTTGAACCACTTATGCTCCGTGAAACATGTGGTAACTCCAGACAAAGCTCAGCTCAGGAAGACCCAACTGCATTCTGGAGGGAAGCTGACCCCCACAGGAGAGCCAGAGAACACCACGAAGTGGTTCCCACGCAGGGTGCCATGGAGGCCTCCGTGGCTTCCCAGCCCCGTGGGACGCAGAGCACATGGTAGCTGTCCTCTGGGGCCTGTGTGTCGCGAGTGCCATCTGCAGGGGAAAGGGGGAGGTGCAGCCCCTCCCACTCCTTACAGAAATGCAGGGAGCAATGGGGCCCAAGGTGGCCAGCAAGAACTTTCTAGCAGCTACACTGACAAAAATAAGAATAAGCAGGTGAAATTAACATAAGATGTCAGCCTCTGCGCATGTAATCAGTAGACAACACGACAAATGAGCTTTTCCACATTTTTTGTCTCCCGTTCAGTCTTTAGATCTGTATTCCGTACTTCGAGCACATCCGACTGAGACCAGCCACAGTTCAAGGCAGCCTGTGGCCCCCCCACTCAGCAGCACAGCTCTAGAGTGGCCAGTGACAGAGAGGTCCCCACCCACTCTCCCCCGCACAGAACCCGGCCCCCCTCTTAGCCAGTTGGCTCACTGGCTGCCTTACCTGCACCGGAGCCCCTTTCACTCTGTGCTGCACGCCGACAAAGGCAGATTCACATCCTTACGACAAACAAGACAGGAAACTGCACCGCCTTCCGGAAAAGACAGACTAAGCCCCAGCCTCTGTGCTCAAGGCCAGGGGAGGCTCTGCCCCGAGGGGAGACGGTATCACAGACACCATCAGCGTCACCCACCCCTGCTGAAGGCCGGCCAGGTGTCAGGCACCAAACGGTACCTAAGCACAGCATCTCCTGAGGTGTTTAAAATAAGTCAGTGTGGCCACGGAAAGATGCCACCAGACACCGTCCAAGGAAGCAGCAAGTTGTACAGTAATATAATGCTATTTTCATAAAAAAATCTTTATATAATATATATATATATATAAAAGCACGCACATGTATACACACACGCGCGCACACACACACATACACACACACACACGTGTGTGTGTGTGTGTACCAAACGTTTATCTACACACAGTGAGCAGCCTGGAAAGGTCTGGCCAACTGTTGATGAGGATGATGTCCCTGGAAGACGGCATCGGGGGGACTCTGAAAAGCGCCAGCCCCGGCGCTGGGAGGCAGGACAGGAGCAGCACCATGCAGCGGGGGCAGCACCGTCAACAGAGCGTCCGCCAGACGGTGGCCAGCCCCCCGGCTCAGCGACAGGCCTGGGCTCTGCACCTTTAGGGAATCGGTGGAATTAGGGCCCTTGGAGCTCCAGGCTGCTCTCCTGAAATGCTTCCGAGGTTGGTGGGTGGGGTCTCCCTTACTTCCTTAGGCCAGACATAGCCAAGGGGACCCAGAAAACCTCCCTTTGAGGGCCAATATTTCAGCTGTGCCAGGAGCTTGAAGAGAGCTGCTAGTGCCCTAGAAGGGTCCAGGCCATAGCCAGAAGGGACTTTCTGGCCGCAGATCCACCTGCATCCAGCCTTCCTCATTCACCTTGTGTCCACCCCTAACCCACAGGTCTCCTGGATCTCACACACGAGAGAGGGGCTTCACAATGAACAGGACCTTCTAATCCATTTCCCTGACCCTGGTTTGTTTTTGTTTTTATTTTTTGTTTTTGTCTTTTTAAGATTTACTTAATTTTAAAGAGAGAACGAATGTGACTGGGGGGAGGGGCAGAGGAAGAGAATCTCCAGCAGACGCCCCACTAAGAAGGGAGCCCAACACAGGGCTCAGTCTCATGACCCGAGATCATGATCTTAGCTAAAACCAAGAGTCGGACACGCAACCAACTGAGCCACCCAGATGTCCCACTTCTCTGACCCCATTAAGCAGATCACTCAGGACAGATGCCACCCTCCTCTCCCCTCCCACCCCTACTACCAATCCAAGTACCCCTTGGTACTTGAGTAACCATATTTTAGCCAAGTCTCTCCAGCATCTACAAAATTATACTGAACAGCCACAATCAAACCCGTCCGGAAAACACAAGCCAATGCTCTGATGTCTAAGACATCCTCCACAAGCCAAACCCCGAAACCGTAAGGCACCTGCCCATGACCATAAGCACCTGACCTGAGAAGTGTCACTGGGGACCCGCCCAAGACTAGGCTGCACTTCTGACTCAGGAGATTAACACAAGCTCCTCTGGAGACCAAGGTTTGGTTCCAAGGGGTCCCTGACCAAGGAAGGATCTGCTCTCTCGAGGTTCTCTGTCTCCCACAAACAGACAAGGCAGAGCCCCAGAAGGAGGGTGACCAGGGGGGGTACCGGCTGGAAGCTCCAGGGGCAGGGAAGGCTCTGACCACCTGGCCCAAAGGAGCACGGCCCAAATTCAGCCCGACCTGCTGTGGCCGGGGACAGCTTGGAGCCCTTGCTCTTTCTCTCCATGCTCCACCCTATTCGAACCCCAGTTTTCAGTCTTGTACCTACTTGACCACTCCTGCGACGAAAAGATCAGCGAGGCCCGACCTTAGGGCACACTTATACAGAGGTCAGCAGATGTCCATATACCATTCTTTTTGGAAAGAACAACCCCCTTTATTTGGGGGAAGAAAACAAAACAAAAACACGGGACACCCCAGGAATCCACGGAGGAAGGCAGGCAGATGAACCTGACCACGAGCGGGGCACTCACCTGAACTTTCCCGTCCGCACCTGCAGGGCCCTCATTCCGCACCGCTGGGCACCGCCAACATCTCCCACGATATCGTCTCCGATCATGATGGCCTGCCGGGCAGACACGTGAGCTCAGAAGTGATGTCGGGACAGTTTATTCTGTGCTCCTTCATCTTTTCTGACATAACCAACCGCTTGATTTGATGCTTAAAACCACCACCATACAAATTAAACCCGGCAGTGTTGTCATGGTATCGATTGAAAGTCGACCCACCTTGAATATATCTCCCAATGCACCCCTCCACTCCCAGCCCAAGAGCCAAGGGGCTCTAACAGCACATACGTAGGCAACATGAAATCAACCTACAGGAGTCGAAACAACACAGTGTCACAGGGATGTGTGGGGACGCCAACCCCGTCTTGCCTCTCCTCCAACACAGGCTCCATTTTACCTGTAGCTAAATGCTCTACCCAGGAGCCAACCACTAGTTCTGTGAAAACTGACTAAATTTCTGGCAAACCATTGTAGCTCACAGTTTAGGAGGTCTTGCTTTCAATAATGAACGTATTACTACAAAAGGCAAACTAACGTGCGCACACACACACACACACACACACACACACACACACACACACACAGGAAATGCTTGCAGACCGGCTGTCATTTCCAAAAGCATGATGTGGGGTATACTCTCCCACCCGAAACAGCTAGGAAACCAAAGAGACTAGAAGAAACAACAGTCTTCGAGACGCTGGACATCAAGCAGTGAAGGACAGTGATTTGGGACACTGGAAACATGAGGGGAACCCATGAGTGCCTCCGGTTTCCAGACTGTGGGTACAGGGAGGGACCACACAGAGGCTGGCGGCCTCCTGGAATTGAGGGACAAAGCTAGGCGCTGGGAGACTGAGGCAGCTGAAGTTCCCAGGATGGAGTGTCAGAGAGGAGGGGGCTACCCGGAGAGAGAGGAAGGGCGCAGATCTGCAGAGCGTCCCTCTGAATGAGGCACCATTCATAGACCACTGATCAGCACACGTGAGTGAGGAAACCACCCGAGGCCAGGGAAAGAATCACTCTGAAAAATGAAAGAAAACACCACCCAGACCTCAAATGGGGGTGAGAATAGTGCCTGTTTCCACCAGCCAGACTGGAAAGTCTCATGACGCACAGGGGCACTGAGTCGCGTTCTCAGAAGCACCTTGCCTCAGAGTGGGAAGTAATTAGCCTTAGACCAAACCCTGCTCTGGGACTGCCTCCCAAATCTTAAAGCAAGCTCTGGAAGGATCCAACTGTTTCCAAGCTGTTTAACTACATCCCAGAACAAAATAACCAGCACCCAAAAAAGGTAAAATTCACAACGTCTGGCAACTAATTTAAAAAAGTGATCAGACATGCAAAGAAGACAAATATCACACATAATGAGCAGAAAAAAAATCAGCCTCAACTGACCCAGAACTCACACAGATGTGGGAATTACCAGACAAGGACATTTTATTAGTCAACGCAACTATCTTTCATGCGCTCCAAAAGTTAAATAGGGATATGGTAGATAAAAGAAAAGACCCCAGCTAAAGTTCTTGAACAGGCAACTAGACCGGATTTTTTTCAGATGGAGAAGACTGCTTTGATTTTTAATTACTAGTCAGTGCAACTTACTGATATTTGTAACTGATGGCAAGTGAGTGGTACTAAATAATGCTTACATTTTATTTACATGTTTAGCACTTGAGATATATTATGTCTGGAATGGAAAACCCACTGGATTAAATTAATACTGAATTATATAATGCAGAAGAAAACATTAATGAACTTGAAGATACAGTAATAGAAACCAACCAAAATGAAACCAAGAGAAAAAATAATTTAACAAAAATGAACAGAACGGGGCACCAAAGTGGTTCAGTTGGGGTAAGCATCTGCTTTCGGCTTGGGTGATGATCCTGGGATCCAGGATGGAGCCCCGCATTGGGCTCCCTGTTCAGTAGGGGAGCCTGCTTGTCTCTTTCCCTCTGTCCCTCCCTGTCCCTGGTCATGCGCTTTCTCTCTCTCTCTCTCTCTCAAATAAATAAATACAATCTTTTTAAAAAGTGAACAGAGCCTCATCAAACTATGATGTGACTTCAAAGGACCTGATACACGTGCAACTGGAATTCCTGATGGTGAGATGAGAGGAGGTGACAGAAACATCGGACTTCCTCCTAATGGCTGAAAAACTTCCGAACACAAGAAAACTCATAAAGCCACAAATGCAAGATCCTAATCAACATGAAACACAAGAAACATGAAGAAAATTACATTAAGGCACAACATAATCAAATTGCTCAAAGTCAGTAATAAGGCAAAAATCTTAAGACTGCTGGTGCAAAATAAAAAGTGGGGGACTACCTAGGTGGCCCAGTTGTTAAGCATCTGGCTCAGGTCATGATCCAGAGTCCTGGGATCGATCCCAGGACTGGGCTTTCTGCTCAGCGGCAAGCCTGCTTTTCCCTCTCCCACTCCCCCTCTGCTTGTGTTCCTTCTCTCGCTGTCTTTCTGTCAAAAAAATAATAAAATCCTTACCAAAAAAAAAAAGAAAAAAAAGAAGCACGTCACATGCTTTTTTTTAAAAGATAAGACATACAATTTCCCACTGAAAAACAAAGATAAGACATGCGATTTCCCACTGAAAACAATGCAGGTGAGTAGCCAGTGGGGAAATGCCAACATAGAATTCTATACCCAACGAAAGTATCTTTCAAAGACAAAGGTGAAATAAAGGTCTTTTCAGATGTCTTAAGCTAAAAGAAATCATCACCAATAGATCCACACAAAAAACATGTAAAAGGAAGTCTCTTAGGCAAAAGGAAAGGGTACTAACTGGAAATACGGATCTGCCCAGAGGATCAGGGAGAGGGTGACCTATGACGCATGGCGACCCATCTTCCCGCTTAGCCCCCTTCTTCTTCTGGCCAACTCCTAACAGGCTTTCAAGACCACCACCTTTGAAGCTGCCGGAGCTCCAAGGCCCTCCCCAAAGCCCTCCGATTACCCCCCTGCACTGCATGTCCCCTACTGCTGTACTGATTATCTCTCTTTCTGCAGCAGGTGAGCTCCCACAGGCAGGGGCATGTGCTGATGCTGGCACTCAGCTGACAAGCTCATTGAAGGAACCAGTATTCGGGAAGAAGGCGTGGCTGTCCGCGTCTGGGGGCAGGTAGGAGGCAAAGCTGAGCGGACTCTTCACTGGTCACCAAGGTAAAGTCTACTTCGGGGCTGCCTGAGCTTTACTCATCTGTGGGCGTACTTATGCCTGCATTGATATGTATTATTGATATTCTTGTTCAAATCGATTCATACTTTCTTAATAAGAAAATGTGTTTCTAAAGAAAAAACAGCAGCTCCCCTCAATCAGCTACCACAGAACTCTGATTAAAAGCTTCAAAATATTTTAGGAGAAGATGTGGAAATAAAGTCCAATGCCTCAGACATCAAACACGTTCCTAGACCCGTTCTCAAGTTCAGTCAGGAATTTACGTGGTTGGAGGCCCAAGAGGCCTGAGAAAGCAGACTCCTGTGAAAAGGCAGTGTCCTGATGGGGCTGGGACAGAAGCTTCAAAACCAACAGTTATTCCACAAGTCTTCTCTCTGGAATCCAGATGCCAGGTATGGCGAACCAATGAAGGAACCCACAAGCCAATGTCAAGGAATATAAAAGTGATGACTGTGAAGCTTTCATGCTGGGGGAGTTCCACCCATGGCAGGTGGGGGGGGACAGGAGTCCACATGGAGCCTGTCTTCCATCTTAGAGTAGGGGTACAGGGTAGTAGAAAACAAGGCAGGCCCTATGTGATGAGCAGAATGGACAGACTGAGTTTGGGATTCAGATGGGGACAGAGCAACCAGGCTCACATCCCAGCTTTGTTATTTGCTAGCTCTGTGGTCTTGGGCAAGTCTCCACTTCTATCTGTAAAATGGGTACAAATGGTGTGGCATTTAAATGAAATCATGCAAGTTAAGCATCAAGGACAGTGCCTAGATTTGTTTACTGTACATCTTTAAAAGGAAAAAAAAAATGAAATGTTTTGTTGGGGAAATTCCTAATCTAGCCCTGTTGGAGACACTCCAGTCTCTATGATGGCACTCTTGCCTCCAGCATCCCAGCTCTTTTGTATCAAGCCCTTTTGGGGACAGGCAGTAAGGACACAGGGAGTCAAAGAGACACCACTGCTGCCCTCATGAAGCCTCCAGTGGAACACAAAAGACAGAGCTTCATGAGTTAATTTCAAAAATACATAGCCAAGACCTCTGCAAAAGTATAGGAGGTTGTGAAGGGGTAGTGGTCAGGGAAGGCTTCCTGGAGGAGGTGATGTTTTGAGCTTTGATCTGAGCAAAAGAGGCCAACTAGGTTAGGAGGTAGGGGAAGGGGTGCAGGCATTCCCAGCAGGGAACACCACGTGTGTACTAACAGCCCATCTGCCACCATTCACCAAGGCAAGCCACACAATGAATTCCACAAAGTACAGGTTAATAAGCTTGGAGCAACTATCCTTGAAAACATCTGAACAGGCATTCAAATAACAGGAGAAACCCTGAGGAGATTGTGGAGAAGGACAGAGACTGAGCTGGTGCCACTCTGGAGGCCAGAGAGGTCGTGCCGGGCGGAATGAGGCTCTTCTGACAACCGCCCCAAGCTGTCTCGCAGCTACTGAGCCTGTCGCTTAATCACACTCAAGCAGAGGCCGAAGGGGCCTCCACCAGTGAAGCCACAGACAGATGCCGGCCCCAGGAGGAAGCTCGGACACGGACACAGTGAACTGTGCCAATTGTGCGCGGCTCTGGCTCCCGTCCTGCCCCCGGCAAGATGCATGAAGAACTTGAAAAAAACTGCATTTCTTCCAGTGAATATTCTAAACTTTATACGCTTCACAAATGCCCTCTGATCCTGTCTCAAATCCCACGCTTCCCAAAGTCAGTTCTGCATATGGGCGACACACTATCTGATTTTCGGTAAAACAAGGACATGCATTTTATCATAACTAGTTGGTGTTTATTTTTAGAGGAATCTATTTATGGGAAGTAAGTGATTCTGGTTTTCCATTTATAGGACTGATCAAAGTTCCTTTCAAAATTC